TGGTCTTGTAATCTATAGCCATTATTTGAACTTTGTAAAGAATAAAGTCACATCAACAATAATTCATAAATATGTTTAGATACAGAAAATTATTTTATGTATTTTTCTAGTAATAAAGAACTTTTCCATCTTTTCCCAGACAACATTAAAAGATTTTTTATGCATTTCTAAATAAAGATAGAAGATTTTCTTTGTTTATGCTTTAAATAACAAAACTCAGTTCTATCAGCAGACCAATTTTGATTCAGAATTAACAAGAAAATTAAATTAGAATCCTACTTCTAAAATTCAAAAAATATATTTTCATTTGTGCTTAATTTAAATAAATATATCAGAAGAAATAAAATTAAGAAGAGGAAAAATAATTGAAAATAGGAGTAGGATTGTTAATATATTTATAGGCGTAAAACTTAAAATTAGATTCGAGGAACTTTCGTCAACTTTTATCTTATTTTATATTAAAAATTATTTATAGACTATTTTAGAATAAGAATCTGAATAAAATCGTAATTGCCTCCTATAAAAACTGATCTTAGAAAGCTAAACCTACAGACAAAAACTAGAGAAAATAGAGAAGCATCTTAAGAAGGAGAGATTAATTTCTTACTAAGAGTAGGAATGGACAAGTCACCTAATCCTAAATGATTCGGCTAGTCTTTTCTTTACTAACCTCACAGATTTAATTCTCTTAAACCTCAAAGATGAAGAGGGAAAAAACAATTTATTAACACAAAAATTCTTTTTGTAGATGATAATTATTATCAAAAAGTTATTAATTTAAGAATTTTGAGCTGTATAGGATATAACACGAGTCCTATGGTAAAGAATATGATCTAGCCTAAATTTATAAGTAATTAAAACTTTATAGGTTTTATAGGCTTATATGAAAAAATTAATTAAAATATAATTAAAATATCTTTATTTAAGAATTTTAAGATTAATACAGGATATAATATGGGTCTTTTTGTGGTAAAGAGTATCTTTGAGTGTGGTTTTATCTACCAGTTTAAATTGTTTTTTATGTAATTATAAATATAAAATTCAAATATATAAAATAAATTAAGGGTGTAATAAGCTCTAAAGTATTTTTATAATAATTAAACAATCTGCTGTTTAAGGCTAAATTAACAGAAAAACTTCTTCTACAATATCAATTCCAATTAATCAATCTTATCAGTTAAAAGAAATANTTACAGCATTATCAATTGCCAATTGCTCGATGGTTGAAACCAATCTATTATGACAGTTTTATCTTGCAAATTCCTAATTGTTGTAAATATTTATTTCTTATAACATGAAAAGCTGCTCGTTTGAAATTCCTTATTCTTTAAAATATTTAGTTTATTTGAAAGTAATAGAAAGGATAAAAGTGCGTTAATTTAGAAAGCAAATCTCCAAGCTTAACTAACTTTTACGATCTCGAATTCTTTGCATTTGCGGTTAATTTTATTCTGGAATTATCAATTAAAAAGTGAATAAGCGAAATTTATTCATTAAATTTTCGGTTAATTTTCTATTTTGTTAAAATCTTATAAAACTAAACAGTGTTATTATTCTTAAAGTCGAATAACAGCAGAAAAAATTGAATTAGTTTCACTAAGAAATTAAAAAAGTTTATATCCGTTTATTAACTTAATTGACCTTCATTAATTAATGATTAATTATTATAAAGCAATATATATAAAAGAACCAGTCTTTCACACGTCTTGAAAATTTCTTATTAAACTTCAGCAAATTGAGCATTGGCTCGGTGAAATGAAATCTCGATAAGATTGAGTTAGTTTAACGAAGAGATTTAATAAGTTTTGGCATAGTTTGGTGATTTCAAATTGTCGGATGTCGCTAAAATTGAGATGTTTCCACCAAAGTACACTCCATCAGACAAGCTATTTATGTACCTCTTACTTCAACGTAACCTTTAGAAAACTTATAAAAACTCTCATTACGGTTAACTTAGTCGCATTTAAATCCGAAAAAGCAGAAAGAAAAAAAGAAAAATAATACAGAAACTTTTATCTCGTTAAAGTAAAACTAATCGAGTGTAAAATTTCTGTCAGATTGTTGATGTATTTCCTTTCTGGAAGAACAAAAATCTACTTCTAACGCGGATTTACTAACAGAATCACTCCTGATCGCACTTTTCTAAGTTAATCCGAACAAGTCTAGTTAGTGGACCACGTAGACTTATGTGTCATTGACCGGAATCTTTTGCCTGTCATGAAACATGCTCGGTTGAACATCTTTTACCTCCCAACACGTTGCTCTTTGATAAATGAACTTTCTCCTGAATCTACCTTAAAACATACGAAAAAAATGCATTTATTTCCATAACTATAACTTAAAACTTCAACCGTGTTTTAATATTTTACATTTCCTAAAAATTACCGTTACCAAACTAGCATTTATAGCAGATATTGTTAGGTAGCTAGCGACAACTTTGATAAATAGTTTTAAAGAAATTTATATTAATGCTACCTAAATAATAAAAGTTGGTTGTAGAATTGTAATTATATTCATTTATCTTAGGAAAGCTGTTAAAATGACGGAAATATCTGCTGTAAATTTACTAAATTTATTAAAATGAATGGGTACAGACATACAGACGAATTTATTTTTATACACTTCTTTGTTTTTTTTCCTTATCTAATATTGGTATTTTTGCCTGATCCTTTTCTAAGACAAATAATGGTCTTGTAATCTATAGCCATTATTTGAACTTTGTAAAGAATAAAGTCACATCAACAATAATTCATAAATATGTTTAGATACAGAAAATTATTTTATGTATTTTTCTAGTAATAAAGAACTTTTCCATCTTTTCCCAGACAACATTAAAAGATTTTTTATGCATTTCTAAATAAAGATAGAAGATTTTCTTTGTTTATGCTTTAAATAACAAAACTCAGTTCTATCAGCAGACCAATTTTGATTCAGAATTAACAAGAAAATTAAATTAGAATCCTACTTCTAAAATTCAAAAAATATATTTTCATTTGTGCTTAATTTAAATAAATATATATATACATATATATAATTATAAACAAATACTAAAAATATACATAAAATATGATAATATTCTAATATAAATTTAATAATGAGTAAATATTAATTCAGATTTATTAAAAATACTTTTAAAATCAGATAAATTTTTGCTATAGTTTTAATAAAAGAAAAATATAAGAAATTGCTAAAAGTATTTTAATTTAGTTTTAAAATATTCAAATTAATAAAAAATAGAATTAAAATCCAGGCAAAATTTTCTATAAATTCAATTTAAATAAGCATAAGAAATTAATAAATTTAAACGAAATTAATAATTTAATTTGAAACTAAAATCTAACAATTTTTATTTTGAAATTATTATTATTTTTATTCGAACTTAATTATAAAAAATAACAAAAATTTGGTTAAAATTTAATGAGAGAAAATTAATTTTGATTTAAATTTAGTAGCTAAAAAACGTTGATTCAGATTTAATAAAAATTAGAAAAACTTTCCTGTAGTGTCAATAAAAATAAATGCAAGAAATTAATAAATTCTGAATAATAAAAAAATATTTTAATTCAAATTTAAAAATCGACAAAATTATTCTGACGATGCTAATTTTAATTAAACAATATTTTAAATTTATTTAATGTAAAATATATGCTCTCGATTTTACTAGTGTCTTGCCCCTGTACATCATACTGTTAACAACAGAGTTATGCCGGTAACTCCGTTCTGGAGAAAATTTTTGAATTGAAATAACGTGACTTCCGGCGCAGATCGGAAGTTCGTATGTAATTAATTGGGGCCTCCTGCCCTAAGCTCTTATATATGGTCTCGACTTTAATCTATCTAACTGTCCTCTAGATTAAGGAAGAGCAAACATACAACAGATGGACGCCAGAGGGAATTTATAGGTCTTCAATTTGAAATTTTCGGCCCAAAAAATAGGACCTACTGCTTGAGTTTGACCAGTGAAAAATATTATTTCTTGATATTAATTCATTAATGAACAAATATTGATTAAGATTTAATGGAAATGAACTTTAAAAATCGAACAAACTTTTCATGGCTTCAATGAAAATACAGTAAATGTAAAAAAATGAATAAATTTTGACTGAAATTAATAAAAAAATATTTTAATTCAGAATTAATCTTATAATAAAACTTTTACTTAAAATTTTTGATTTAATAATAAAAAAATTCATTAAAATTTAATATATTTTAAAAAATTCAACTAAGTTTGACATTATTTTAATAAAGGGAAAAAATGATTTAGCGCATGAAGAATTAAATTTTGACTTTAATAAGAATAAAAAAATATATTGTCTCGACTTTAATAAGAAATAAACAAATTATAGAGGAGTTTTAACAAGAAACAATATATTTATTTTTTATTTAAACAAGAAATAACCAATCAAAAGGTTTTTTTTTCCTGAAAGAAAATATGTTTTTTTGCGGAAGAACATTAGGATTTTAAATTTAAAAAAGAAATATTCTATTGATATATCAATGTAATGATGATAATGCTTCACTTCCTCCAACGTTTCGATATGATTTTACGGAGTTATGATTTACTTCGTCTTATTCTAACGCAGGATAGAAGATAGAAAGTTAAAAAATTATATTCGATAACAACCGAATTCTTGTTTTAGTAAACATGGTCTACGTCTTCGTCCCAATTTCCGTCACGTGATTAATAATATTTAGGTTAGTATTAACCAATATAATCTGTGCTAACCTATGCAAATATGTTTACATTAATTGTTTGTTTTCCGAGCTATGTTCACAATTTCCCAATTAAGGTATTAATTTTAAACTTAGATTAATTAAATCAAATTGCTGCTTTATTGTTAAAACACTTTACTAAATGAGATTCATTTTTTCCTCTATGTTTTATTAACTGATGTTTCAATCATATTAATGTATTTTTTTAAATTTTATTTCATGATAAAAATTAATATATTGTAGATTATGTCGATTATTTTATAGGTTTCACTTTTATTATCTTTCAGTTTTATGTGTTGATCCAGAATTTGCAGAACCAATCACCAATGTTACAGCGGCTGTTGGTCGAGAAGCGGTTTTGCAGTGTACAGTAGATAGTTTAGGAACTTATAAGGTATGTTCTGTTTGTAATTAATTTTATTGTTGTAGGTTTATTTCTAGATAATTGACTACATAAGTAGCAGAGATTAATGGTGGATAAAACAGTGAATTTGTGGTACTTCGTACAGATAATGCACCGATAATGCTTCGTTATCTAGCATTTTTTGGGGTACAAATTTAATTTTTTTGTTAATCTAACATTAAAATTGCCTGTTTTACTTTCCTTTTCCTCTTATCTGCCAGGCTTTGCTAAACTGATTTTACTGGAAATGCTTCACCGTAACGTTATTCTGAACCCATTTCAGTATGCTTCAATTGACTAATTTAGTTTTTATCCTTTATCAGCTCCCTCAAAAATCAGTTTCAGTATAGTGAAGTGAATCGTCTAGAACAAAAGCATTACTTTATTTCATTTCATAGTGCAAACAGAAATTTTCTTTTTCCTTTATACTGATTTGATTCTCTCTCTAGCAATGCTTCATTGCACCAAACTACTGATTCCTTGCCTTCTTTTTTTTCCTTCTTATTCAACTGTTTCTCTCTAACCAATTTAAAAAAACAATAGCTCTTATAACTAATTTAAAATGTATATTAATTCTTATTATTATTTTTTCATTCGAGCAAAAATCTAAGCAATAAATTTTCTTTAACACTTCCACGTACAAAAAAATAGGGAAGAAAATTGTTCTTTAAACAAATAATAAAAATTTTCCCATTGTCAAAGCTTTATTTAAATTTAAACTATTTTCCATTTCTTGAGATTATCATAAATTACATAAAATTTTATAAAAATTCGATTTATCGACTTGGATCAGAAGCAAATTATTAGATATATACATATATATTCTGTTTTTTTCTACTTCCATTTCTAAATCAAACCGAATTTTTAAGAAGAGAAATTACAATAAAGATTCCTCTACGATATTAGATAGAAAAGAAACAAAATCCGACCTTTAACTCGCATAAATATGCTAATAAGCAGAAATATCAAAGCAATGACTTCAAGCTATTATCAACAGCGATGAATGTTATACAGCATCAAATATCTAAAGAGAAATTTCCTCAAAACAACCATGACCTCATCTTTATTCTTAATGTTGCTTGGCATTCGTAAAATCGTTTTGCCACATATCCATTTAAGATAAGAATTCCTTATAGCGTATTTACTTATCATTAAGCGTCATTGCACATATTTCGCTTTGTGCAGATAAATATCTCCATCACTATCCCAGATTTTAATATGAGGCCTGAGAAGACTTCATTGTTTTCTAGATGATAGTTTGACTCATTGTTTTAGATCACTCTCCTTAATGATGTTTCTGTTAGTATGTGATGCTGATGATAAAATGCATCACTCTAGTCCTAATGATGATATATTGCCTCGGAAGTGATAGTTCTTTTTTCTTGGAGTGATAACGTATTGTTTTGTGAATAATATCTTATAGAAAACCTTACTTTTCCTTGTTAATATTATCATTTTCATGCATTTTTTCCTAATCTGTATCGCTGAATAGTTTCGATAAATATAAAAGAGGTTTACGATAATGATTCTGAGGAAAATGCCATGTATCTATGTTCGAAAAAAAGCCAAATTTATGCAATTATCGAATGAATTCTTCAGCTAAATCATGAATAATTTATCTATCCATCAAGTTTCTTTATATATTAAGTTAATTAATTGATATAAATTGAAGCTAGACTTATATGTACAGGATATTCACATAGTAATTTTAATGAAACGTAACAGTAAAGTGAATTATGATAATATTAAATTTAAGATAAATTTATATAATACGTCTATTAATGTAACGTAACCAAGTTTAAAAATTTAGAAGTGTTAAAGGTGTCAATTCTCAGCAAAGCGATTTCCATTTAAACAAATTCATTTATTTCCCATTCAAATATCATTGCTATACACTAGAATAACAGTTTAATGTATAGCATTTTAGTTTTAAAAGGTAAAAATCTTTGTACCTTATCCCAGAATAGCACTTAACTGTGTTGATAATATAAGGAAGACTATTTCTAGTCATTAACAAAGATCACTTTTACGGAAGAGATGTGATAGTCGCTTTTTATTAAAAAAAAACACTGTAAAAAAGGTTGGAGGAAAGTGTCACAAATCTTTCATTAATACGATAAGTCTAAACAAGATACTATTTAGCGTAGCACTTTGGAATATTAATATCCTAGCTGTTTTAACCATTAGTGAGCACATAAAACACAAAACGTGCAGTCATTAAAGCTGTATTCATTTAATAGCAACACTTAAGAAGGAGTGTTACGCTCTCAGCTCATCCACTCACTCTCGGGGTGTTTTTAAAACATCCTGTTACTGACTAAACGACATCATCTCTTTTATACACCATCCCTAATGGTCTAACGTCTCTAAACTTAAGGAAAAAAAAAGATCAGCTTCATGATTACTTTCTTCAGTAAGTACTTCGGAGATTGAAAATAGACATTGTCAAATAGTAATTTAGATGCTATAAGGAACTTTCACCTATGCAAAACCTTTTATCTTTTGAATGGAGTTAATCCATTAAATCTGTTGATCCATCTTTCACAGATTCTTATTTATATAGATTTTCGGAAGCCCGGAAACTAAATACCTCATTTAAGTGTGTTCTCTACGTGTAAAAAAGTCTAGTTTTCGTTTGTACAGATTTAAAGTAATGGATAATTCTTGATGAAAAGTTTTTCAGATGCGGTAGAAAATTTGGCTAAAGAATTTGTAGAGAAGTACATTAAAAAATAAAAAAAAAGAAATTAAAAAAATAGAAATTTTCCTTAAGGGATTAAATATCTTTAATTAAAATTAAAATTTCTAAAGTCAGATAAATATATTTAAACTTCCAACACCGAGTAAAAGTTGTGGCTTTATTATTATGCAATGGCACAGAAAGAGAAAGGAATAGATAATCAATTTTTTAATGTTATGTAAATTTAACTAAGCAAAAAACAGGCATAGATAATGAATGACATTATTATTATTTTAAAAAATAAATACTTTTTTTATACATGATAGAAATAACTGCATCATTTTTCCCATAAAAATTACGTGATTGCATCTTCTTTGTTTCTATAAATAGAAGAACAAACTTGCTAGCTGTGATGTTTTTTTATTATTAATTTTTTTAATGTTTGAAGAACTTATCCAGATTAATATGCTTGAATTCTTTACATTAATATCTTGTGAAAGTAAACTATAAAAATTATATTTTGGAAAATTATTCTACGACTAGTTTTTCTTTTTGTTAATAAATGTGCTGAAAGCTCTGAGTGACTTGTGGATAACGAAGAGGAAAATAATAAAAAAAAGACGACTAAACTAATATATAAATTAAAATTATCTTTTTCTTTTTTATAAAATGAATTTTACTTGCAATATTTAAAAAAGAAATTCTCATTGAAAAAATTTCTTTTAAGATTTTAATGACTTTCTGGCCTTCAAGAAATTCATTTTAACTTTCAAAAAGATGCTGTTTTCTTTTTTAAATAGCCAAATCCTGTCGATTGTGGCAACATCTTAAGGTTAAAATTATATAGATGATAATATATAGTAATAAAGATAACGAAACGGATGGAAATGTAATAAAGGAAGATAATAAGAACAATGAAATTCTTTCCTGTTTAGTGCCAAGAGGTTTATTTAATAGGAAAGACAGGCTAAAACTGTCATGTCGACAATTGTGCTTAAAAAATAGATTGCCACATTAGCCCAATTTCGGAAGGAAATGGCAGATGTCAATAGGATTTTCTGGCAATAGCCTTAAAGCAAGCATAAATGGCTTCTCTACAATTGAGAAGCTGCCATACCATACACCCAAGAAGAAGGAAAGAAAATAACTTCGTAGCCAAAATAACGTATGTATGCCATAAAACAAATGTTAGAGATTTAATTTTTTATAGAGAATTAAACAACAAAATTAAATATTTAAAGTTAAGCGCTATCTGTTTCTCAGTTAAGAATTTATGCAAAATTATTATGAGCATTATAATAATGTTAAATATTTTGCTATGTAATCATTTATTATGTCGAAATATAAAGAAAATATGTGAAACTGAACTTTTACGATCTGAAAAATTCAGCGATTAAATCCAATAGAAAATATTTCTAGAATTATGGGTCAAAAAGTCAAAGAAAGGAAGTAAAAGAAAAAAAAATAAAAACTAATGGATGTGTTTGTAAGAGTTATGCTGAGCTACATCCAGAAAATAGTTCAACGCTTCATCTCCTCAAAGCCATGAAAGTACGATACAGCGATCGAAACGTAAGCACGATCAAAAATTATATACAAACAATAAAATTTTATTTATTTTCTTTAAAATTTATACAAAAACATAAAGGATAATATATTTTATAAGTTCATTACAACATATTAAAAGCGTAATCTTCTTTTTAAACGATTAGAAAGTTAAATAATACGAACTAAAGATCCCATTTATACATAAATTTATATACCTTTCTCGAAATAAAATTAAAATTTTGTATATATATAAATTCCAAGTTTCTCTCATTATTGTGTATAATTTGTAACTTTCGACATCATTATATATTCAGCACTCGAAAATCTAGTTACCAAGGACAAACCACTTCTTTAAATAACTTTCTCCATCTTCGATAGTTCACCACAAAGCCACGTAGAGGTCTTCAATATAATTACTACAGATAGGGGGGTTATTTAATGTGGAAGACAAGTAGGGGTTTTTGAAGAGGAAAAACAAGATTTGTTATGTCTTTGACATTTCTGCCCTGAAGTAGAAATTTTTTTTCATATTATTATTATTATCAGTAGAAAGAGGAAAAAATTCACAGACGGAAACATGCCATCCAACGCTTCAGGGTGTACGTGATGTTGTGCAAATTTAGCTTATTACGGTAAGTATACCAACTGGCAGATATATTGTTTCGATACTTCTACATCATTTTATTCGAGATATTTGGTAATAGTATTTGTATAACTTTAACTTTATCCTATTTCTTATCCATTTAATAGAGTGAATAATATT